TATATATATATATTGTATGTGCAGCGTGCTCAGATCAGTTGATTAGTAATCTACTTGTCAGTTATATATCTCATCTGATCTTAGGTTTGATTCCCCCCGAGTATAGGGTATGGTACTCTAATTCTTTGAAGCATGAGAGATGATCGTGACTCGTATAATAACCTTCAGCCATTCTTCTTTTTAAATTTTTTTGTTTTTACGTATTCCACTTGCATTATAACTTTCAACTCATAAAAACTCAAATGACTAATTCCTCTTATTTTCGTGACTGTTATTAACCTTCTATCAATTTTTAATTCTCAAAATATCTAGCACTGTGTCCGTAGAGGCAACAATTTTTATTTTAAGGTTATAAAATCATCAAAAAAAAATATTTTTTTTTAAAATATATTCTAAGTAATATGGATAAGCTTTCTAAAAAGATAAACAATAACAATACATTTCACATTTGCGCATCTACAACAACAACAAGAAGCTTTTAGAGGAATTCCGGCCAATGCCATCATTTCTTATCACCAGTTATGTGTTCTGTAAATGAACCCGATCTACTTATCATTCTGGCTCAATAAGGATTCATTCATATTCATTTGATTAAGTAATTGAACAATTGCTCAATTGTTAAATAAGTAGATTTGAATACCTTCGACTCATTTATGTACGCAGACAATTTGACTTAAAACTCACACAGAAGCCCATAAGAAGCTACCAATCACATCAATTTTTTATGTATCTGAATATCAAACATATAAAAACAGCCTAAAATGCCACATTTTTAAATTCAAGCAGACCAAAGCAAAGGTTTTTAATCTAAATATTGATTTTAGTTGGACAAATCAGGCAAAAAAAAACATATAATAATTCAAAACAATTCAGGCTCAACAGAATATAAAATTCAAAAGTACAAATACAGCTATTAAAGAAAACAAACTTACTGCCATGGAAGAAAACAATTCAACATATAACAATAAGGGGAAAAAAGATGAGGAAAGCAAAGGCTGAATCACACTACTCATCTTCCTGGCTGCGTAGCCTGGCAAGCTTGTTGGTGACCACAATATCAAGCTGTGCTGCTCGCTCCACAATATCCTTTCGTTTCCTGGTTGAAACATTGTGTGCAATCTCCGCACAGTAGGTCCTGACAACATACATGAATTAAAAAGAGCAATATAAATAAGAGAAATTTACACATATCGAAACCCCAAAGTTTGATATTTACACTCTTGCACGAAAGGGTGTAGTTTACTTTTCAAAAAGACAGTATGGTGGATATTTTTGATGCGATGTTAAAGATGCGAAAAATACGCTTGTAAATATGAATATTTTGGTGTTATATATGTAAATAAATAATTGTGTGGCATGTATATAAAATGCACCTACAAATAATAAAGTGACATTTACACAGATGCCACCCAATTCCGATGCATTGACATGCTAACACCTAAACTTTGCTTCTTGCATTATACCACCCAAATCTTTATATCGCATAAAAATCCAAGTCTTCCAACTTTTAAATACACTTGTCATGCATAAAAATGGCGGTATACATGTTAAAATTGATGTTTAGGTGTTAGCTATGTAAATACATATGAATTAAATGGTATGCATGTAAATCTTCCAATAATTAAATATCAAGTTTTTTTTTTTTTTTTTGACTTAATTTAGAGAGTCTAGCTCTAACCTGTTGTGCATCATGAGCAACTCTAGCTCGGAAACATTGTGAACTAAAAATTTCTTGAACTTGTTGGGCAAATAATGGCGGGTTTTCTTGTCAGAGCCGTAGCCGATGTTGGGCATCAAAGTGCATCCCTTGAACTTTCTCCTCACACGGGAGTCGATACCTTTAGGCCGCCTCCAATTTGGCTGTTAAAATGAGCATATTATTAATAAATACATCATCTATTCAAAATTTTTAACCTTTATACAACTAGAAACATCTGATTAAAATTTGAGTTATTACAACCAAAGCACTGAAAATCAGGTGCGAATATTATATGCGGATTGATGGTATTACGCAATACCACCAAATCCACACTTATCATGAATTTGGATGTAAATTTATTTTGAAATAGATATGCATATGTGGATTGATGTTATTACGCAAATTTGAAATAGAAGTAAATATATTGCAATAAAAAATTTTACAAAGTTAAAATATATTAAGGCACAAGGGCTTAGAGCTTGGAGCTTAGATAGATTAAAACGACACTATTGATGCAAGAAGTAGACCAATAAATAACTAAGAAGCGTATTAATACAATAAATACACTTCTAAGAAAAATGATCTACTAATCTGATATAACATCACATATTAAAAATTTTATAAAAAAATCATAAAAAATAGAAACCAAATTTAAAATCTACAACAGCAGGTATAGTATGGATTACTCTCCCATCTACTGAGCTTCCTATTATTCCCTTATGGATTACTCTCCCTGGTTTGAGTCTTCATTACTACAACCAACAGGTTTTGCACTCTATTGCAGCTATATTTGATAAACCCCTGAAGGAAGACCTGGCTACTTACACAACATGTCCAGACCATATGCGGTAAGGGTCTTAGTGGAAAGAGACATTACCTTACAATTACCTGAAGAAATTTTGTTGGGCCACAACATACTGGATATTGGTAGAAAATAGAATTTGAATACAAATCCAAATATTGCACTGAATGCAAAATTTTTTGACATACTACTGACAACTGCTTCAATCTTCATCCTGAGCTCAGGTCCAGCAATGAGTTGGGAAATGCTACTAATAAAGGACAGATTAAAAATGTTTTGGCAGAAGAGACAGGCGGGGGCAAGGGGGACCTTGTACAACAAAATGATGTTGCTGCTATTAATGAAATAGCTGTTGTAGGTGAAGAAAATCAGTTTGCTACACAATGCCTTAGCTTAGCTGACAGTGGGGCTCCACTTCCAAACAATTTAAGCTTACAGGATGGTCATGATGTAGAATTAGAACAAATACAAGATGTTCTAATTACTACAGCAGAGTTGGACGGGATTAGAAAAATCATTTAGGAGGAATGGCAAGTGCGGAAAACTGGAAGGAAGAAAGAGAAAAGTCGTCGAGAACTGAGCCATCAAGATCCCGATGCTGTTTTACAGTATGAGGGAACTTCACATGCTGGTATTCTGGCTAACATTGATGATGGGGGGGCCTTGGGAAAACTAGAGGGTCCAGGTCTTCTTATGATGTTTAACTTCCTAATATGGAATGTTAGAGGCATTAGAAAATTAAATGCGTCTAATAGAGTAATATAACATGTGGAAAACTCATAATTTGAAATGCATAGATCTTTTGGAACCTATGATAAATTTAGAAAACACCTCCAAAACTATTAGAAGAATGGGAAAATACAATTACCTAGTTAACTGTAATGCAAAAATTTGGTTTATGTGGAAGAAAAATTTTCAAGTCAAGCTTTTGGCTGATAATTACTAATTCCTACATTTGGAGGTTACTTGTTGCATGGGTCTTACTCGGGAACAAACTCTGATTGAAGCACAGAATTCCCTTAATGATGTCGTACATAATGAGATAAGTTATTACAAACATAAGACTAATTTTCTTGGCTTTGTGGAGGGAGACAGAAATACAAAAAATTTTCATGCTTGTATAAGATAAATGAGGCAGGTTATGCTTGACTTCACCCTCTTCAGCAGATAGTACAATGCACTCAAATATTTTCAGAATTTATACAATTAGTCTGATGTACAGTTGGATCTGTTCCAGCATGTCTTGGTTCCAAAACTGGTAGCTCTTGGCAGTTACAATCATCGGTGTTCAACCCCCATGGAGAATAAGATCTGAGAATAAATAAACGATAAAAATCCTAATAAAGTGACTGGCCCTAATGGATTTTCTTCATCCTTCTACTTACATGCATGGGAGGTCATTAAACCACGGTTAATTGCATCTATTTAATGTATTCCAGAGGGATGGCAGCACCCAAGTATTTTTGTAGCTCATCTATTATAGTAATACGTAAGGACAACTGTAAGGTCAGTTGGGAGAATTTCAGAACACTTAGTCTCACTTCTACCATATCCAAAATCATGAGTAAAATAACAATTAAAAGACTCCAATTTCTGCTTAACCAAGTTATAATTCCCCAACAGTCTGCCTTAATTACTAGGAGAAACATCATTGAGAACATTCTTATTGCTCATGAATTATCACTGAATTTAGATAAGCCTTACAGAGGAGGAAATGGTGTGCTGAAACTTGACATCAAAAAAAGCAAATGATACAATTAGTTGGGAGTTTATTTTGGAAATGTTTAGGGCTAAAGGTTTTCCATATTATTTCTGCATGCTGATAAAAATCTTCCTTGAAAACAATTATTATTCAACTGTAATCAATGTGGAGTCTCATTGTTATTTCAAGGCTGGAAGAGGCTTAAGGCAAGAAAATCCTTTATCTTATACAATCATCATACTTGCTATCGATTACTTTCAAGGCTGATGAAACATCACCTTAGTTGCAATCAAACTTGAAGGTATAATGCCAAGGGCAGTGAATTTATCTCACATTTAGCATATGCTAATGATTTTATAATGTTTTGCTATATGGGGAAGTCCATCATATTCTCTCACTCATACAAACCAAATCCAAAGAGTGAGGATATAGCTTCTAATGATAAAATTGGATGTATAAAATAGATTTTCTTTCAGAAGTACTATAATAAAAAGATATTTATTATAAGACTTATATGTCAATATAATAAAAATATAATAGGACAAATTTTAGAAAATTACAATTAATGAATTATATTGCAAAAATCTAAAAGTTGGGCAACAAAAAAAATTATAAAATTACAATTAATTGAATTATATTGCAGAGACATAAGTGTTGTGCAACGCAAAAGAAATCAATAGATAAGCTAAGTCTGATATAAATGAGAGTTACAACGAATATATAGCATAATTAATGATAAGTTGATGGAATGATTACATTGGAAAGATGGTGAGAGTTGATATTAATGAGAACAAGGTTTAGAAAATAGACTTTGTGATACATTAATAAACAGCAAAAGTAAGAGTACCAAAGAAAACTAATAAAATGAATGGATTAAATTAATGTTGATATTAAGGGGTAAAAAAAGATAGACCAAGGGTAGCATAGAAACTTGGAAATTATGTAAAAAATTCATGCAAAATAGTTCTACCATTATACATGGCACTAATCAAAAAGAAATGGTGAAAAATATTTCATGAAGCTTAAAAAATAAGAATTTCAGTAACCACATAGAAGTGGGATAAGCATGACGCTAATGATCCTTAAGATCAACACAACGTAAATCTACAGTGGCAATTTATTTTTTTTCCTTCCTATCATTTCAAAATTAGCAAAAATGTATAATAAATATTTAAAAAAACAATAGATACTAATATTATAACTTAAACTGTGGATGTATATAACAGATCACTAAAAATACATATTTCTTTTGTTTAACAAAACCAAATCAACAACAGAAATATGAACAAAACAAAACTTCAAGGGTTAAAACATAGGTAGTCAAAATCAAGTACTTCGAGGGTACAATGCTATGAGAAACAAATCATGAACTCGTAAGTAAATTTATAAAACCATAATTAAGTCAACTATAATGCATGAATACACGTATCGAGAAACAAATAAATTAGTGATAAACAGGTTAATCATGAAAGAGCTAAGAAAATTAAGGTAGATATATACCAAAACTAAGAAGTCTGTACCGAGGGATGATTACATCCGAAAAGGGATGGGAGCAACAATTATTGAAAATAAGTAAAACTATTATGGGCGGATAAAATTGATGTGGAAGTACGCAAAAAGCAACTTTGATTAAAAAAATTGTGAACAAAAACTATCCAAAATAGTTTTCACACCTTATGTGGTCATTAAACAAAGAGAAATGGAGTAAAGATTTGTAAAATTGATTGTATAGTTGAGATAAGAATCATAACTTGTGATTGTGATGATCATCACGATCAATAGAGCTAAATCTAAAAATATCAATAAATTGATAGATTTCATATCACTTCAAAATCAATAAATACCTACTAGCAAGAAGGTGTCTGATCATTGTAATTATGCCAACTATTTTGTATAAATCCCAAAATCGGGGAAAAAATAATCATAGATAAACAAGTTCATCTTGAAAGACTTGAGAAAGTTAAGATGGATGTAAATTAGCAAAATTAGGAAGGATAAACTAAGGAATAATTACATCAAACTATTGATGGGAACAACAAATACTGTAAAAAAAAAAGATTGGGAATGTCAGCATGATAAGACAAAAACTGATGATGAGCCAATACTATGAGCGCCTAAAATTAATGTTGACATAAGACAAAAAAAAAGGCAGAGATAAGACAACATGGATTAAAAAGAAGTAAAAAATATGGCCAAAATTATCTTGACACCTCATGTGGCACTGAACAAGCATAAATAAAGACTACAACTTTATAAAATTAATTTTATAGTGAGGATAAAAATTACAACAATGACGATCATCACAAAGATCAATAAAATTAAATCTGAGAAAATCATCAAACATGTAGATGCTCATATCATTTCAAAATCAACAAACATCTATTATCCCTGATTAATTCTTTTATAGATCTCTAGACATATATTTATAAGTAACATATTAAACAAAAAATGACCAAAGGTCATTACTACATATGTTTATACTATCCAGCATATCTAGTGAATCCCATCTTAAAAGTATATAAAAAGGTTATTCCAAGAAATACATTGCCTATTTTCTAAATATAATCAATATCAGCATTTAAAAAAAAAAAAGTAGATAGACAAACATGGCATCTTAAACGCCTTTTGAAATGAACCCTGGTGTGCTAAAATGAACCCTGGTGCACTGCTTTCCTTAAAACGTGCATAGATAGAATATTACAAACGACTGTATCCTAACTAAAATTCAACAGATCAGTATATTATTCATTATATAGCATCAAATTTTGTATAGAAATCAGAAGCAAACCCTTTCAGCATTTACTTGAAGAATGCATTAAATAAAGTTTAGAATGAAGTGAATTCGATTCTTTATCATTTAGGCTCATCAACATGTTATTAAGACACATGATCAAAATAGTAACAGAAAAATCTGCAAAATACCTCTTGAGCTGGAATATATAAATCAGAACAACAAACCTAATATGCTGCATATGAGCCAAAATGGTTTTCCAAAGATATAACAAGAAACCCTATACCCATCCACTAATAAATCATCTAAGTTCCGTTATTGCTCTAATTTCTTCAAAATTTTTCAAAGTGAACAGCAGTAAATAAACTTGTTCAAGCTAAACAGACTAAGCAAGGATAATAATAATTTCACCTTCACGCAGATCTTGCGATCGCTCTGGGGCCTCTTAAACTTCTTCACGCGCTTCTTGACGATCTTCCTAGTGAGCAGCGGAACCGCCATTTCTGAACAAAAGAACACGCAAAAAATAAAGCATAAAAACCGCAAAAGCAATGCATTCATCTGAAAAACAAGAGAACTATCTCGTGGGAAAAAGAAGCAGAATACCAAAGAATCGAATAGCAGCAGGCAACCCTAGAAGCGGAGAAGTGGAGAAGCGGAGGATAGCCGAATGATCGAATAGCTGCAACAGGCGGCGCTGCGAATGCTCTCTAGGTTTCTAGACAATATACTAACCGGCTCACAGCGAACGGCCAGATCTTTGTCATGATGAAGGTGAAGGGCCGGATCAGATTTTATTTTATTTTAATAAAATTAGGAAAATTTTGAGGAGATGCAATTTTTTTAATAAACTTATTTAAAAATTATTATGATTTTTATAAATATTTTAAAAATAATAATTTTCTTTATACGCATCAAAATTCACAGTTTATGATTTTCAAAAATAATTTTTTTACTACAAAATCTTTATAAATCTAGTAAAAAAAAGTTGTTTGATACCTCCATAAAAAAACAAATTAATTCCTATAAATCTTGATGGACATTTGGATCAGAAGTTTCAATATTCAAATTTAGAAATATCTGCGCTTTAATTTATGATAAAAAAAAGTTTCTCAATGAGAACCAAATGACATAAAAAATGATCTGATATGAGCTCAAGTGAGTCAAGATCATGCACTTGAAGCATAAAGAAAAACTTTAGAACATATTTTGGGAGACTGAGTTATCTCTAAACATGGCAAGTTCATATTCAAATCTAGTGTCTCGATATGACGAATCCACTGAACTTAAAACTAATTAATTATGTTATATTGTGTTTTCCTTAAATATGTTTGAAATATTCTGATTTATATGACAGAGCTAAAGATTAGAAGGTAGACTTATAGTTTGTTGAGTCAAAATATGACATATTGTCAAGTTTCTCAACCAAACACCAGCTACCAAGCATAAAATATACATAGCCTAATGTCGTCGAACCAAACCTAGGGTTAGGAACCAGTTAGCTTGTCAAGCCAAACTAAACATACACCCCTAAAACAAACTATCGAGTTCACTGAACTGGCAAATTAAGGAATCTGAACAATTAAATACCAGATATCTTGTATGAATTCAAGATGAAAGGCTAGATAACTTGCAATATTGGCTAGATTGGCAATCAACGAGTTATGCGCAAAAGCCCGATCATGAGTATGAAACTAAGTTGAGAATGCCCGCCCACTTACCAAAGGGACTAAGTTTCTTGTTATCCAAGGGATCAACTCATTCAAGAAGAATAGCTAGCTTGGAAACCAATTTAACTAGTAGATTGACAAAGAAGTGACGTGACGAATGTTATTGGAAGTATATGCCAAAATATGGTGCCAATAATTTTAATTATAATGTTAAAGTCAAAAGAAGGATCCATTCAATCGTCCTAATAGTTATGACAACCAACCTAAAAGGTTGGTACATTAGGATAGAATCTAATCCAGATTTGACGCTCTTATTTATTCCTAAATTTTAGGCTACAAAATTGTTCAATCTTTCTATTAGAAGGTAGCCAGCTAGAATCTAGTGAAGTTTGTTATACTTCCAAAATTTAAGGAAATATCCCTCTTTTATTAGAAAAAAAAAAATAGTTTAGACTCTTTCAAATATTAAGAAGAAATTATCAGAGTTGTTCTCGTAATTAGTTATAATTTTTATTAAAATTTTGTACAATAAAATTATCTATTGATGCAATAAAATCATAGTTTCATGTTCTAAAAGCTAGTATCTGAGATCTATACTTTCCTCATCTTAAACCCATAGTTGTAGGAGCAAGCGAAATGAAATATCACAGATCATTCAAGATTTGTGTACTAAGAGTAGTTATTTTTAATGTTTGAAAAGCTCCTCTATAATAGAGGAACATTACTTTAAAAAAAAAGGAGAAATAGGGGATCCCTAAATATTGTATAATTCTTTTTTCTCCATTCTTCTTCAACAAAAAAAGAGATTTTTCTCTCATCTTACTCATTCCCTCTTTATCATTTTAGCTCTTCTCTTGGTGGTGGGCATTCATAAATAAATCGAATTATGACATCCTAAAAGATGAGGTGATTGCATAGCATGTCACAATTATGAAGAGTACAAAAAGCAAAGCCAATTAACAATAAAAACAAAATTATCATATAAAATGTCAAACTTTTATATCAGTAATTTTGCTTTATGAAAATTATTTATCTTTAAGGCTTGGGGAACTTGTCCATATGTGTTCACCCTTAAAATTACCACTTTATAATTCATAACAAAAAAATATGTTATTCATGACTAGTTCTTTTAGAAAACTTTTCTCTTTATTATTTTTAATAGGCTATATAGTAGTGTACTAACTTAAGAAACTAACTACTCCTAAAGTGAATGATGAAAGCCCCGCGCAAAAACTCTTATAGGAGTAACTCAAGAAGCACTGATGAAAAAGTATGTAGGAGAGCTAGAGGCTCGGATGTAGAAGGACATAAATCACTTAGCAAAGTCACATACTATATTTATTATTTTAAAAATATCTAAGGAAAATAAATTATCTGACGGATCTTTTTAGGGAACTCAGTTGCATCAAAGTATCAATCTATGATAATAATTTTTAATAACAACATTTATATAAAATATTCCTATCATAGGAGAATTTTCTTAAATTGTTGGAGAAATGACATCATTGCTGACAACATTTGAGCACTCACATAGGCAAGTTGCCTAACAAAGTACCCCGTTTTCATATGATAATAGAGAATTTTTCAAAATCTCTCTTCTTCTCTATATTTTGTGATATTTATTTCAAAACTTGTCTTCTTCTTTTCATTTCTTATATTAGTGGTTAACTTGCATTTATATTTCTTTTTTTTATTATTAACTTAGTGTAACTAAATCAATTTATAAACATATAAAATTAAGAATGGATACATTGCTTGCCATTTATTACAAGTTTGTTAATAGCACTTAGAGATTTTTTCTCATTTATAACTCAGGGAACTCACTCCTTATAACTAGGTTCATTTAGAGTTCAAGGAAAGTCATCTAACCATTAAACCTTACTCGACTTAATAGCGAACACAATGGATGACTTTGAAGAAATGATTTCCCAAATATAAATCGACCAAATATAGAAAGAAGATAATTAATCAGGGAATTGAAGATCATAAAATCTTAACCATAAAGTTTAATAGTTATGTCGACTTCTCCTTCCAGGAGGTTACAATCTCCAAGCGAAGGATAGTCCAAACTTAATAAATTATTTGGATTCTTTTATACCGAGTTACATCAATAGGAAATAAGGAATCCAATTGCAAAAGAGAGTCAACATTTTTTATTGAAAAATAGAATTCATTGATAACACTTTAGGAACTCATCATATAAGGCAATTTCAACATCAAATCAATAAAATAAACAACTGAGAAAAAGTATAAATAAATACAAAATCAAATTCACAAGTTATGAGATTATTCCTTATATATGAGCAAAAAAGAAATTAAAGCACAAGTTCTTAGAAGAGAAGCTCATGAAGCCCCTATAGAGAATAGCTTGCAAGAATTGAAAGCACTAAAGGTGAATGACATTCTTTACCTGGCAAAACCTTTTACTCTATATCTTTTTAAAAAAGGAAGCATATGTGGGAAGCAATCTATAGAAAGTTTTGATGACCTGGTTAGCATTCAAGCTTTATTAAAATATAATTTCTAAAGAGACTATTCATACATATAGATATTTCTGATGTAGAGACAAACTTGGCCAAAAAACTTTTAGACCATGAACTCGCTACGAGCAACACACAAGGAACTCACCAAGATGCACTCACACCAGCAATCAACAAATTTGACAACCTTATGAGTATACAACACCATGCCTAAACATAATACGATTAACTGCAAGAGCAATAATGTATTCATTTGCATTCACAAACATGACAAAATAATTAAAGTAAGAAGGAAACATTAAAGAGACGAGGTCAACCTCATCGAATTACATTGTATTTAATTTTAAGACTCAAAGGGTTATTAAAAACTTTGCCCTTAACATTGAAATATCATACCAGTAATTTGCTGCCATCCTCAAAGTTTGGCAAGAACTCATAACCATTATTATAATATTCCATCTCTAGATGTGGAGGTCTGTCAATGTTCAAGCATTATGAAACTCATTTATCTGATAGCATAAGGTCAAGTACAAGAAGTTAGACTCACCTCTTTGTGATAGGATCCATAATGGGTAGTGAGCAAGTCTCTTCCTCAAAGGGTCTAAATAGCTACCTCTGTGCAGATTCCAATAAAATTAACATAAAATCATGTGTAAGACATGACTTCTCTTTAATTAAGAGAATCAGTAGTATATAACTTGAACCCGGGCCACTAATGAAAAGGCTTCACTAAATAACATGGCTTTAGTTCAATGATTGAATACATGACTTCTATTAAATTAATAAACGGACATCATTGATCCACATAACCTACTTCTGAGATGAGCTCTATCAAATAAGTTAGGACATTTTTCCAATTTCCATAAGTCTTGCAAGCTTAATTCATCCTATGGATTCCTATTTAATGATGACATGATATTGCGAAGGTTAATATAACTAACAAGGCCCTCAAAAGTTGGTCAAAGCCAAATCTATTGGCGGAAACTTCTTAATAAACCTCAGAGCCACACAAGTTGGACACACTAATGAGACATCCATCGTTGTGTCAAAATTATTGTCTAGAATTGCACGAGGGGACTGCTTCGAATGTGATCAAAGTCTCTTTTGATCGCTTCACCACCTTTTTCATTTTCATAGATTTGTAGTCTCTTTGGCATTTGATGAACTTAAGATCAAATGTAGGAGCATCTTTGTGGTCTTATGATATATTATCCATTCATCCATACTCAAAAAGTGAACTAAATATATATATATATATATA